ATAAAATTCGTTAAGCAAAAGAGAAAGAGGGAAGCGGCGTTTAATCAAAGTGTCAGAATGCAAAAATCCGTGCATTCGATCTCTTCTGAAAGACGACGTTTGATCAACGTTGTTCCTCCGTCGTGCCAACGGACGGATATCGTCAGTCGTGCAAAACTTTTAAGTTGGCAAAATAACTCAGAACTCCTAACTGGTCCTACTTAACGTAATTATGTACTAAAAAAAGGTAAACAGAGTTCGATGAGCCTCTTGAGATAATTTTGTCGTAAAGACTTTATTTTTTTATTGAAGTTGTTTGACCTTGGTTTTGCAACTTGGTCATATTAGCAACTTCTAAACAACGAAAGAAGACCGAGACCATACAAAAGAACACACTATCCTTGTCTTAATACCTTAGACTTTATTTTTTTATTTTTTTAAATTGACTTATATATATTTATATATGATTTGTCATATATAAAATAAACCATTCTTTTAATCATATATATATATATATATAGGTCACATATTGATATTTTATGGCATGGAATGCTTTGTTTTAAATATGGAAAGTCATATATAAATATATATACATAATTTATTTTAAATTAAAAAATAAACTCATTGCAACAAGACCATCTCAAGAGGCTCATCGATTTCCAGTTTATTATTTTAATAAATTATGATTTACAAGATTTTAACCTTAGAAAAATCTATTTTATGACTTGATAATGCATAGAAATGAATGCGCGTGTGATTGCTAAAAATGGCAAAAATTCTTCATTTCGTCGGCAACTAAATGACGTCAGTAAGTGTCACTCCTCGCGGGAGTAGACTAGGCTTTTTTATCGCATATTCTTCATGTGCAATCACTACGCCACGCTATCACGGATGCCAATTGTTGACAGGGCAGACAGTGTTATGCAATAATAACTCATAAATATGAGATGTATTTACACAATTTAGTTTACGGTGATGGACTAGAGCTAATGTTTACATTCAATTTCACATGAACTTGCTTTCCCAAACGTTCTTGTCATCCCGGCTTGAGTGGACTGCCGTTTCGACCTTGCATCAACTGGTCATATCAACACCTCCAGCGGGAGTCGAACCGTGACTGAGCAGCATGTGAATTCCAGGGAAGGCCATATCATATTCTTTTTTTAGAATTGTCGATAAAAGTAGCGAATAGTTGCTATAACAATCGACCACGTTACTTTATTTTTCGCATTTAATTGCAGTTTCGAGACTACCAGTAAATAAGTAGTATGACATGTATTCACCAAATTTAGTTTACGGTAGTAGAATTTCTCCACATTGATGCGAATAGAGCTGATGTTTACATTCAATTTCACACAGCTTTGCTTTCCCAAAACTTGTTCTCATCCAGGCACCAGTGGACTGCAGTTTCGACCTCGCATCAACTGGTCGTATCAACACCTCCAGCGGGAGTCGAACTGTGACTGTGCATCATGTGAAAAGATGTGAATTCCAGGGAAGACCATATTATATTCTTTTGGTGGGATTTTCGATAAAAGTAGCGTATATTTGTTATGGCAATCGACCACGTTACTTTATTTTTCGCATTTAAGTAGAGTTTCGAGTCCACCGGTAAATAAGTAGTATGACATGTATTCACCAAATTTTGTGTAAGTTGATGAAGTACTTTGATGATGCCCATTGAATGATGGAGGAAAACTCAGCCCATTTTCAGCCGAAGCGAAGGAGGATGTCTCATGGACTGCGTCAACTTGAACGTCGTATGAAAATGAAACGGCTGCGGTACAACAAGATTCAGTCGTCGTCTTCTCGTGGGATCGACGTTGCAATCTCTTCTTTGTGCACGTTCATACGAAATGAAAGTCCCCCCAACAATGTTATTTCAGAAGATTTATGAAAAAGCCAGTCACACTTTGCATCTGCTCGGACGATGTGTGCAACAGGACAGACAAAAGCAGAGCCGGTTTTCACCGGAGTCCAAAATGGTTGCGTTGGCGATGACGTCAACCAGAAGATTGTATTAAAGCCAAGTGATAGGTTACTGAGTGGAATCCAACAGCGTCTTCTAGTGGGATCGAATTGTACGAATCTCTTAATCATAAAAACTTCCAATCAAGGTTGAGTTGAGCCAAACAACAGTCCCCTTTCATCTCAGCGGCCTGCTTGAATTCGGGCTCGACTCTGTAGTCTCTTCACCCTAAAAGTTAACCTCTTCCTCATTGTCAGCATCATCAGCATCATCATCCTCATGCTCCTCTTCCTCGTCTTCATCAACATCATCACAGTCATCATCACCAGCACCAGCACCAACTCCAACACAATTATCATCCACATCATGATCATCAACATCACCACCTAAACAATCCTCATCTTCATTGTCAGCATCATCAGCATCATCATCCTCATGCTCCTCTTCCTCGTCTTCATCAACATCTTCACAGTCATCATCACCAACACGACCACGATCACCACCAACACCATTATCATCCACATCATGATCATCAACATCACCACCTAAACAATCCTCATCTTCATTGTCAGCATCATCAGCATCATCATCCTCATGCTCCTCCTTGTCGTCTTCATCAACATCATCACAGTCAACATCACCAACACCAACACAATCATCATCAACATCATGATCGTCAGCATCACCACCTAAACAATCCTCATGTTCATTGTCACTAATATCACCTCTAACGCTACCCCATTGGCATCAGAACTAGGATTAGCATCATTAATAGTATTACAGTTATTGGCATCATTTCTACTATC